CCACCTTTGGATGGAGCTTTGGACGCCATCAAGTATTATGACTGAAGTACACTTTACATAGCAGAAAATACTCCATACCTCACTGGCCTATAGAAATAATACCAGTTTGGCAGTGCTCAGTCAAAAAAACATTGAGGCAGGACTAATGTGTGTCGCAGTGCTTTAGACTTTTTGAACAGTGCCGTTTATTTCAGTCTCTGTCTGTTCTTCACAAAGTAACAAAAAGTTCACAGGCAGAAATGTGTGGAGTTCAGCAGAGGTTACTGAAATTCCATGACCATCAGAAATTGCTGTTCATTTGTGTCCTTGTGTCCTAGTGTTCTGCCTTAACTTCATGCCATTTGAGTGTCTGAATTCTGTGTGAAATATATGCACAGTATAGTTCAATAGGTCCCACAAGGGAACCAAAAATATAGCATCCAGCCTATTTTCTGCTAAATACAAATAGTAACATGCAAGGCTTGGCTCTTTCTTCTGAGATGACAGATGTGTAAAACTGGCGAAATGAGCAAAAAAATAACAATCACGTCAAAATTCAAGTGTCAAAATATTATCTATTTATGTGAAGTTATTTTTTGCAAATTGGGTGAGAAGTTGATGAAACCTCTCCAGTTCAGTTCAACATCTGAAACACTACAAAAATAAATGTCTTATGAAAATGCTATCAGAATGACCCAACTAACTGTCAAGATCACTGGTAAGCTTACAATCCTACTGAAATTGCCAACCAGTTCATTCATGCTTACCAAGCAGCTCCTCAACATGTTTAAGGAAGAAGGGCAGAACCCAGAGAGCAAAGACACACAACTTCAAAACTGTACAAAACTTTGCAGCTGCAGAACACAACAGAGAAGCATTCAGAGCCTCGAACCCCGTTCACAACATGTCAGCTAAGGTGCTAACAGTGTGAGGACACGTACACAGACAGCTAGTACAAGCTAGCTTTAAACCAGTGACGTGTTAGTAAAGCTATGTGTGAAAATTTCACTTCATTTAAGTGTAGAATAAGTAAAAAATAATGTACACAGTACAATACATCAATAGCAATCTAAAGTGAAACCAGGAGGGAAGAGTGTAAAAATGCTGTGAGTGCCTAAAACTGTTCAGACAGGAGATCACACAGTCTCTGAGACACAGAGTCCCTGCTGGTCCGGAGGGTGAGGCGATACATCTGAAGAAAAAACAATCGCACAGTTACACAGGCTATATAAGGGTTCAATGCCAGAATATGTGTGTGTGTGTGTGTGTGTCTTTACCTGTGCTTGTGCGTTAGGTTCCAGTCTGAGGAGGCAGCCCACCTGAGTGTTCTTAGTGTGGATGACTCCAGCCCCAACAAAGTTTTCAGGATTGGGATCCACCCCATCCAGCAGAGCCACACCAAAACCTAAGATCTACAAAAGAATTTCCAGATTTTTTTGTGATTTTAAGTTCACAAAAAAGCAAAT